ATAACCACTAACCAGCTGTATGACTGCAGACAAGTTATTCACTCTAAGCCTCAATTGCCTCATCTATAAAATGAAGAATTTAATAGTAATGTTATGGGATCTTTGGGGGTGTCAATATTCTGGCCAGAAACTTCTGTGACCACAACACTGTTGCCCGAGTTTTTGTCCTGCGTCCAGGAAGAATGAGGTACAAAGACAAGTAAAGGGTGAACAAGATGAAGATGAGGAAGATGAGCTCCTCTCTGTAGGCAGGTCATCCAGCAAGTGTTCAGGTCTCAGCAGAGGAAGTCATGGAGAGGACAGCTCCTCTCTGCAACTGATCATCCCAATATCTGCAGCCCTCAGCTGAGAAGAGATCCTGGAGAGAGAGAGGTTGGCTGCTCTTGCAGGTAGGACATCTCTGCAGCTCTCAGAGAGAGGGTAGCTCTTCTCTGATGCTGGTCATCCCATCATCTCTAGCTATCAGCAGAGAGGGTACTCCTTTCTGCAGCTGGTTGTCTTGTCCTCTCTCTGCCCTCTTCATCCTCTGGCCATCCTCTGCCCTGCTCTGGCTGAGCCCTGAGCTTTTATGGACCTCAGAGGGGAGGAAGTGAATGCCAGTTGGTCCATGGGTGGCCATGGACTGGCAGAAGAGGATCCATGAGTCCCCACTCCAGTCCAGGGGACTGGAAGCCCAGGCACCAGCCTTCAGGCCCTCCCTAGCCTGAAAGTGGAGCCTTACTGGGACCCACCCACTTCCACCCAGGAATCTGTCTGCCTCCCACTGCCATTCATGCCCTTGGGGCTCAGTCCCAACTCTGCTCTGAGATTGGAGCGGCTGCTAGTAGAGAAGAGGCGGCACTAGGCAGCAGGAGCAGACATTTCTGAGCCAGCAGGGGAAGGCGGGCCATTCCTGGCCTGAGGATGCAGGCTGCAGAGATACCCAGGTGCTGCACCTGGGGAGCTCCTGCCCCTGCCCTGCCAACTAGGAAGGGTCAGGGCTCCCGCTTGTCCCCAGCTCCTGCCTGCTCCATGGAGTGGGAGGGCCAGGTCTGCAGCTGAGGGTCAGGCAATTGCAGCTGCACCCCGGAGGGCAGATCCTGCCTGCTCCCAGCCTGCCCCAAGAGCACAGGGAGGCTCGGATCCACAGCCTCAGTATGGACCACTGTAGCCCTGCCCAAGAGGGCATGGCTTCTGCCTGCTCCATAGCCTGAGTTTGTGACCTTTTTTTGGGAGGCTGCAGCAGCACACAGGGAGCTCCTGCCCCAACTCAGAAAAAGCAGGGATCCCACAAGCTCTGTGGAGTGTACAGCCCCTGTGCAGTCAGTGTGATGACAGCAGCCACTGGCATCAGTAATTTTACTGATTATAATTTATATAAAGACATTAACATAAAAGTCCATAGTGAATTTCAGTTCTATCTCCTATCTTCATGGTTTATTTGGTCTCCCCAGCATAAGCTGGGGGAAAAAAAGTGTGGTGGAAAACAGGGCCTGAAACCCAATCAATGTTAGGGGTGTGGTTTCAGAGACTCCTTGAAGTTACATGAAGACTAATACCAAACACTGCACTGATAACCTGGCATTCCACTGTCAGGGGCTCTCTCCCTTCAGCTTGAGGCTAATCTGGGAGGAATCCACTTTGCTGCAAATATTTGTTTTAATTATCCCGAAAAAAGTTACTACTGTATATAATATTATGTAATGTGATCAAGTAGTTGTAATCTTTAAGACAGGAATCTTTAAGGAAATCAACATGGTGATCTGCTCCATTTTCTCCCTGAGGAGGAAAAAAAATGAGAGAAGCTTCCAAGGAAGGTCAGTTAAAGGAGATATGAAAAGCCATTTAATTGCACACTTAAAATGGGTGAATTTATGGTATATGAATTATATCTCAATAAAGCTTTTTAAAAAACTATTGAGAAAATCCGTGAGGGAGAAAAAAAAAGGAGCTATGAAGACAACGACAGATCTTAAGAAATACTTCTAGATTACCACTAACCTAACAACTTTAATGGAATTAAATTGTATCATTTTCTCTTCTCTCTTCAATTTTGAACGACTGAATAAAAGTCTTTTTATTGCCTTGCCTAGCAAACCTATCCACATTGGTAACTCCAACACCCATTTTTAATAAATATCCGGTACCTGATTCTCTCAGTTGTTCTCCAGTCATGAACCTGCTCATGAGGGCCAGTTGTTAAATTTTAAGGCCTTTTGTTAAACACAGCCATCAGTAAAAATCAAACTAAACTTAAAATTAAATAAATTAAATTAAATACATAGGTGATAAATACCTCAAAGTTATCCCTTCCCCTATTACTTTACTACGTTATTATTATCTATGCTTTGAAGTGTATTTATATCTATTGAGGTTATTTATGTCTATTTGGAGAGAAAAAGACCATCCTGTGCAAGAGTCAGGAATGGCAAGAGAAATAGGAAGAAAGGAGGAAGCTGTCTGCCACTGTTAGCTACTAGTATTGTTATCACTGCTGCTGCTGTTGCTACCCGGAGACGCAGAGCCCCACAGTATATAACCTATGACACCCTTAGCAGTTGGCACCCTTCTAAGAGTTCATCCCAGAAGATCTTGCACACCATGGCCCAAGAAAGCCTGGTCACCAACAAACTCAGAATTCCACAAGGCTCAGCATTTCCAACAAGCTCAGAATTTCCACAAGGTTCTCCTCTGCAGTTTTGTCCTTATCTTTTATTTCTCCTTCCAAAGATAACAATAACGTTTTGCAGCCCCTTAGAATGTGTTGTGCTCGTCTATTGTAGATGGCAGTTGTTTGTCCACCAGCTTGGTTCTCTCCTCTACTCTAAGAGAGACTGAGCTCCAGTAGAATCTGTCTGTATTAGTCTATTCTCGCACTGCTATAAAGAAATACCTGAAACTGGGTAATTTATTTAAAAAAAAAAAAAAAGTTTAATTGGCTTATGGTTCCACAGGCTGGACAGGAAGCATGACAGCATTTGCTCCTGGGGAGGCCTCAGGAAGCTTTTACTCATGGTGGAAGGCAAAGTGGGAGCAGGCATCTTCACATGGCCAGAGCAGGGGGAAGAGAGAGAGAGGGCAGGAGCAATACATTTTTATTATAAACAACCAGATCTCATGATAACTCACTCACCATCATGAGAACAGCACTGAAGGGATGGTGCTAACCCATTCATCAGAATTCTATTCCCATTAACCAATCACCTCGCAACGGGCCCCACTTCCAACACTGAGGATTACAATTGAACATAAAATTTGGGTGGGGACACAGATCCAAACCATATCATTCTGCCCCTGGCCCCCTGCAAATCTCATGTCCTTCTCACACTGCAAAATACAATCATGCCTTCCTAACAATCTCCCAAAGTAACTCATTCTAGCCTTAATTCAAAAGTCCAAAGTTCCATCTGAGGCAAGGCAAGTCCCTTCTGTCTATGAGCCTAGCCTGTAAAATGAAAAATAAGTTAGTTACTCCCAAGAAACAATAGGAGCACAATTATTAGGTAAATACTCTCATTCCAAAAGGAAGAAATCACCCAAAAGAAAGGGGCTACAGGCCCCATGCAAGTCTAAAACCTAGCAGGGTAGTCATTAAATCTTAAAGCTCCAAATATAATCTCCTTTGACTCCATGTCTCATATCCAGAGAACATTGGTGTGAGGGGTGGGCTCCTAAAGCCTTTAGACAGTTCCACCCATGTGGCTTTGCACGGTTTGGCCCACACAGCTGCTCTTATGGGCTGGTGTTTTCCAGGCACAGGGTGCAAGCTGTTGGTGGATCTACCATTCTGGGATCTGGAGGACAGTGGTCCTCTTCTCACAAATATTTTAGGCAGTGCTCCAGTGGGGACTCTGTGTGAGGGCTCCAATCCTAGATTTCCCTTCTGCACTGCCCTAGAAGAAGTTCTCCATGAGGGCTCTGCCACTGCAGCCAAGATTCTATCTAGACATCCAGGCTTTTCATCCTCTGAAATCTAGGCAGAAGTTTGCAAGCCTCAGCTCTTACACTGTATGCACCCACAGGCTTAACACCATGTGGAAGCTGCCAAGGCTTATGGCTTATACCCTCTGAAGCAGCAGCCTGAACTGTAGCTGGGCTCCTTTTATCCATAGCTGGAGCTGGAGCTGCCTGGATACAGAGAACAGTGTTCTGAGGCTATGCAGAGCACTGGCACCTTGGGCCTGGCCCTAGAAACCATTCTTCCTCCTAGGCCTCAGGCCTGTGATGGGAGGGCCTGCCACAAAGTTCTCTGAAATGCCTTGGAGGCCTTTCCCATTGTCTTGACTATTAGCACTTGGCTGTTTTTATCCTCATGAAAATTTCTACAGCTGGCTTGAATTCCTCCCCAGAAAATGGGCTTTTCTTTTCTACCACAAGATCTGGCTCCAAATTTTCCAAACTTTTACACATTGCTTCCCTTTTAAATATAACTTCCAGTTTGAGATCATTTCTTTGCTCATGCATATGAACATATGTTGTTAGAAGCAGCCAGGCCACATCTTGAATGCTTTGCTGCTTAGAAATTTTTTCTACCAGATACCCTAAATCATCACTCTCAAGTTCAAAGTTCCACAGATCCCCAGGGCAGGGACACAATGCCTCCAAGTTCTTTGCTAAAGCATAACAAATATGACCTTTATTCCACTTCCAAATAAGTTTCTCACCTCCATCTAAGATCTCATCAGCCTGGACTTTTTATCCATATTACTATCAGCATTTTGGTCAAAACAATCTGCCAAGTCTCTAGGAAGTTCCAAACTTTCCCTCATCTCACTGTCCTCTTCTGAGCCTGTCACACTCTTCCAACCTCTGCCCCTTACCCAGTTCCAAAGTCACTTCCACATTTTCAAGTATTTTACAGCAATGCCCCACTCCTCAGTACCAATTTTCTGTATTAGTCCATTCTGGCACTGCTGGAAAGAACTGCCTGAGACTGGATAAGTTATAAAGAAAAGAGGTTTCATTGGCTCACAGTTCTGCAGGCTGTACAGAAAACACGGCAGCATCTGCTTCTGGGGAGGCCTCAGGAAACTTTCACTCAGGGCAGAAGGCAAAGTGGAAGCAGACATCTTCATATGGCTGGAGCAGAAGGAAGAGAGACAAGAGGAAGGTGCTACACACTTTTAAATAACCAGATCTCATGAGAACTCACTCACTCACTGTCATGAAAATACCACAGAGGAGATGGTGCTAAACCATTTACGAGAACCCTATCCCCATGATCCAGTCACCTCCCACCACACCCCACCTCCAACACTGGGGATGACAATCAAGCATGAGATTTGGGTGGGGACACAGATCCAAACAGTATCACTATCCAACTTGCATTTTTTTTTCTTTTACTAATCTAATAATTCTAATGGATGTAATAGATCACATGTTATGAGACCATTGCTTGGCTATTTGTGTTAGTTAACAATAAATATCTTTAAGCTTTTATCCTATTGTAAACCTTCTGAAGTTTCCATAAATTATAAATGTAATTATCACACCAAATGGCCTCTTTCCCTCCGGTTCTCTTGAAATCCTTTTGGTCTCACCTATACTACTTTCCCCTTTAGGATCCTCTAACCTTTGAAACTTTTTGTAAATCTAAAGGCTTTTGAAGAATCATATGAGGCATATTCATTAACTCCTTCTCTTCTTTCTACTTATTTCAACTCTGCACCCATCTCCTGTTCCAGGAAGCCTCCCCTAATCACTTTAGCTCCATCTTGAACCACCTGTGGGAAATGGAGTGAAGTGGTTAAAGGAAACGTGTTGCTCTTTGGTTTGTTTAGGGCTTACACACCAGGCATAGAGACTTCTCTTCTGTGGGAGGCACGTCTTTCCTCTTGGTGGGTATGGAGTTGAATAGATAACTACTTTTAAGGACACGTTCGCCAATTTCCATAATCAATATGTATCTAAAAAGATAAAAGCAGCAAAAATCAGGAATAAATACAAAAAATAGTTTTAAATTTTTTTAATTTATGAAGTGAATATATATTCCATTAAGGTAGTCCATTGTTAAGTGTTTCTAATGCCTACAGTATATTTGTCCCGTCTCTGTCTTCTTTTTTTTATGTTTCCACTGTGTGTCCTTTGTGTTCCAGATACTATGGGAGGTATTTGGCACAGATTGGCTGACTTCTTTCTCACTAAAGCAAGGAAGTGAGGTTACAAAGGTGGGGGTAATTTCCCCAAGGCCAAAAAAGCTTATCAGTAGCAAAGTTGGTATTACACCCTTGATGTGTCTCATTCCCAAACCCAGGCTTTTTGTAATATTATTAATATGCGTTTTTACTAATACGATTCTTATTCCTTCCAATCACCTGATTATTCAATATCCTCATAGTATTTTTTGTCTAGGGGTGCTACAAAGAACAAGTAGGAAGTGAATTCCTTCAGAGGTTGTTTCCTAGCTTATTATCGTGAATTTTACCTCAGTATCTATTTCTTGGTGTAATTTAGATACACCTTCCTCCCCTCCCGCGCCCGCTTGGTTCAGAGCTCCTGCCCTACCCAAAATGGACAGCAGAGGGGGCGCTCAGCCTTCAGCCCTCCCTCACTCTGCAGGGTGTGCTGTTGTAGGGTTTGATGCTATCCTTTCTTGGGTTTCCAAAGCGCCTTTCTCAAAAGGAAAGTTTAAGGAGAAGGGGAGAAGGGGAAGAAGTAGAAAAGATTGAAGAGACGCTCCACAGAGAAAAGTGCCATCGTCACTTAGGCTTGGTGTGGGGAGCTCGGAAACAGCACGAATGAAAAATAACAGTGTGGCCAAAGAGTGGCATTGTGCGGTGCTGGCGGGGACGCCTCTATTTTCCACAACCGCCTTTTAATATTTGATGTTATCATGAGAAGGGCACTTCATCTACATAAACCTCAGTCTTCTCATCTGTAAAACAGTGGAATAATACCTGCCCTGCCGATTTCATGAGAATATTGCAAGGATCAAATAAAACAATGAGAGTGAACATGCCCTGAAGTGTCAAATCTTGTGTAGGTCTGGACTGCTGATATCAATATGGAGAGGCGGGCGGCATGGAGGGGAGCTAAGGAAGGTAATAGCCAACATATGCTGAGTGTTAACCTTGTGCCAGGCCATGATTCAAGAGCTCCATGTGTACTGAGAAACCTAAGATGGTAACAGCCTAAGAGGGTCAGAGACAAGAACTATGAACCCTCTGCCTTGCTGAGTCACCCAGATGGAAGCAGTGACTGACTTTTTTTTGTTTTGTTTTTTTGTTTTGTTTTTTTTTTCTTTTTTTGAGACAGAGTTTTGCTTTTGTTGCCCAGGCTGGAGTGCAACGCAGTGGTGCCATCTTGGCTCCTCAGCAACCTCCGCCTCCCGGGTTCAAGCGATTCTTCTGCCTCAGCCTTCCTGAGTAGCTGGGATTACAGGCATGCACTGCCACACCCTGCTAATTTGGATTTTTAGTAGAGACGAGTTTTCTCCATGTTGGTCGGGCCAGTCTCGAACTCCCGACCTCAGGTGATCCACCCACCTTGGCCTCCCAAAGTGCTGGGATTACAGGCGTGAGCCACCAGGCCCGGCCGTGACCAACATTTTTAATAAAAGAAAAAGAAAAAATAGCTGTCTTTGAAGATGAATAAACTCAGTCCTGCCACTAACTGCATCAATCTATTATTACATATTTGTAAGTTTTGCTTTTCTTTCAGTAAAATGGGAATAACAATAGCCACAATGGTGCAAAAATTATATGAGATAATGCAGTTCCTTCCTCATTTTTCCCGTCTTCTTTTTGCTCTGGTAGTTTCTCACCATTGATAGACCAGAAAACACAGTCGTAGGGGCTCCAGCCCCTACAACCGCATTCTATGGAGGACCATGTCCAGCTACAGAGCCACAATCCAGTGAGATCTAACGTTAGGACCAGTTCCACAGCATGCTCATTTCCTTGCCTACATGGATTTCCGAGCATGATAGTACATTGCACACACCTCAAAACAAAAACTCCTTAATCAAGAAAATGTTTTAAATGAAAGATGAATGACTACATTAGGAGACTGCGTATTCTCATACTGGACACCATTCACAATTGTCTGAAAATCTTGGTTTCAAATAAGCTGCCTTACTATTTATCCATCATCAACTTGGAATGTGTCAAATTGAGTGTTCTCATTGTGGGGTTAAAAATAAGGTCATATTACTTTTTATAATTAGAAATCTCGTCTTTTAAAAAAAAATTCTAACTTATTAAGTAGAATTTTAGGTTAATTTGGTCTACATTACTGTTAAGAAAAATTATCCAAAACTTGGGAATTAGGCAGAAGGAGAACTGCATGCCCTTTCGATGTGAGACTGGAACTTTGTTTAACAGGCTTACCCCAAAATGACTTGATTCTCTAGTAGACATACCTTTGTTTGACTTGCTATTTATTACTGATTGGGGCCCAGATACTGTGAGGTTAAACGGTAACTTGTAGATTTTCATTAGGTAGCAATGCAAACAATTCCTGTACTATAGAAAAGAGAACCACAAAGTTATGGTTTTATTGACCAGTATGATATTAACCCAGGTTTGCATATAACCTGGCATTCAACATTCTTTCCTCAGTGCCTAAAACTTCTTCAAATGATCTCGACACCAGCTTTACCATCTTGCTGATCCCCTTATCAACACGCTTAATAAATCTTTGATGTATGTTCATTCTATTTTTGTGTGAGTATATATTTTGTTTTGTTTTGTTTTGAGACAGGGTCTTGCTCTGTGGCCCAGGCTAGAGTGCAGTGGCACACTCTTGGCTCACTGCAACCTTAGCCTCCCAGGCTCAAGCAATTCTCCTGCCTCAGCCTCCCAAGTGAGTAGCTGGAACTACAGACAGGCACCACCATGCCTGGCTAATTTTTGTATTTTCAGTAGAGATGGGGTTTCACCATGTTGGCCAGGCTAGTCTTGAACTCCCGGCCTCAAGTGATCCACCCGCTTCGGCCTCCCAAAGTGCTGGGATTACAGGCGTGAGCCACTGCACCCAGCCAAGTATGAGCATATTTTTCATTTTTAAAGAATTATTCTTTGACATTCCTTTCCCTCCCCTATTTTCTACCACTGCATCAGTGAATGATAGGATAATAAAATTCCTGATTGTATATCACAGACCAGAAGTGGCTGCAGTAAACAAACAGTCTTATTCTGTAACCACTGCCAGAAAAAATAATTAGCTATTCTGTACTAAAATGAAATGTATTATCTTTAAGACAAACAATCTCCATAATCTAATATGTATACATCAAATAACTACTTTCTGAAGGTCATCTCGTCCTGTTCCTGAAGGTATGTTTTGCAGATTTGCATTCTAGTATAAATACCAGGAGGCAGAGTTACTCGTGATTTCTTCATCTATTGAGCATTAATTTCTTGCGGGCATCCTATTTGCCACGGACTGCTCTTGCTGCCAGGGTTGCAGCAATTAACACAGTAGACCAAGTCCTTCTACCCATGGAGCTTACATTCCAGTCAAGAAAAATATAATAAACAAACAAGTACATGTAAAGGATCTCAGATGGTGTTAAGTACAATGGAGAAAATGAAGTGGAATGTAGGAGGTAGAGAATGTGGGACATGGGAAAGCAACTACTTTATAAAGAGTAATCATGGAGGGCCTTATCTGGATGGGGACATTGGAACGGAGAAGGTGAGAGTGTTCCAAGGGAAAGGAACAGCAAATTCCAAGGCTCAGAGGAAGAAGGGATGGAAGGCCTTAATAGACACAGTAATAGCTGTGAACTGTATTATGCTGATTAGAGAGATTTGAGCAGAGGAAGGACCTCGCCTTTTTAAAACATTCTGGCTACTGTGTTGAGAACAGGCTCTAGGGGAGAAAGGTAGAAGCCAAGTGACCAGCTATGAGGTCATTGTCAGTGGCCTAGTGAGAGGTGATGGCAGTTTACTCAAGGATGGGGATGGTAGAGGAGGACAGACTCTGCATATATTTTGAAGACAAAACCTACAGGATTCATAATGGCTGAAAGGATAAAGAAAGGAATTAAGAATAACAGCCAGATCAATTGAAATTATGGAGCTGTTACTTAATAGAATGGGAAGACTATAGGATAATAACTTGGGAGTAGTGTCAGGATTTCATGTTTGGACAGATTTAGTTTGACATACCTATTAGACATTCAAATAGAAATTTCTGGCAGGCAGTTGGATATATGAGTCTGTAGTTCAGAGGAGAGGTCCAAACTGGAACATCAATCAATGTGGGTCTTGTTTCAAATGTGGGTATGTAAAGCCAGGAGAACAGATGAAATAAGGAAATGAGTATAGAAACAGAAGTCTAAGAAATGAGCCCTGAGGCATTCAAATGGTCAGCTATGGGAAAAGAGGACAACAAAGAAAACTATGAAGAAGCAATAAGAGAAAAACAAAGCAGTGATATCCTGGAAGTCAAGTAAAGACAAGGTTTCAAAAAGTAAGTCATGATACATGTACTCAAATAGATACTTGCATTCCAACCTTCATAGCAGCATTATTCACAATAGCCAAAGAGTGGAAACAACTCAAATGTCCATCAACAGGTGAATGGATAAACAAAATGCAGAATATACATACAATGGAACATTATTCAGCCTTAAAAAGGAAGGAAATTCTGACATATGCTTCGACATGGATGGAACTCAAAGACATTGTGTTAAGTGAAATAACCCAAACACAAAATGACAAATATTGTACGACTGTATGTGTATGAGGTACTAGAATAGGCAAATTTACAGAGATAGAACTAATAATGGTGTTGCCTGCAGATGGGGAATAGAGGAATAAGAAGTTATTGTTTAATGGATAGAGTTTGATGCAATAAAAAAGTTCTGGAAATCGACAGTGGCAATGAGTACACTAAACGTAAAAATATACTTAATGCTACTGAATTCTACACTTAAAAATGATTTAAGTGGTCAATTGTGTGGTATTTGTGTGTATATTTTACCATAATTACAATAAATATATATACAAGGTTATATATAGGCATGCCATGATCAACTTTATCAAATGCTGCTGGAAATAACCAGCTCCCAGCCCACCTGCTGTCTGACTGCAGCTGCATAAATGATCCCAAGCAAAACTAGTAGATATACCACATAGCTGAGCTCAATGTGAATTGCTGACCCCCAGAATGAGCAATAAGATGATTGCTTTAAGTCATTAGATTTTGGGGTGCTTTTTAATGCAGCAATAAACAACTGATATGCTTGACTTCAACATGGATGGAACTCAAAGATACTGTGTTAAGTGAAATAAGCTAAACACAAAATGACAAATATTGTATCACTGTATGTATATGAGGTACTAGAATAGGCAAATTTACAGAGATAGAACTAATAATGGGGTTGCCTGCGGATGGGGAATGGAGGAATAAGAAATTATTGTTTAATAACTTAATCAGTTTTATGTTACTATAACAGAATAACTGAGACTGGGTAATTTTTTTAAAAAGGAGGTTTATTTAGCTTACAGTTCTGCAGTCTGGGAAGTCCAAGTTTGGGCAGCTCATTTGGTCAGGGCACCATGCTTCTTCAAGTCATGGAGCAAGAAAAGGGGAAGCTGAGAATGCACAAAGGAACTGTAAACCAGAAATAAAATTATACATCCCTCACTGACTAAATGGACCCCCCTCTTGGCCAAGGGCACTTGAAAGAAACCTGAAAAACTAGTTCAGACTATAATGGGGAGGATGGGACAGGCCTCATTATACCCTACTCCCTTTGGCGTTTAGGCACAACTGGACAGCATTAATATTAAAATAGAGATCACAAGGCTGAAAAACAGACTCTTTGCACAATAAAAACCAAATTCCAACCTGACTCTGGAATAGCATCACATGACACATAGTTAGCCCTGAAGAAAATCTAAATATTTTACACCAAAATACAGTCTTCTGACATATTTTGAAATGGTCCTGCAAGGCTGTCTTTTGTGGGGGAAAATTTGCATTCTGTAGAGAATCCCCTTCCCTTATTGAGTCTTTTCTGGATAATCTAACACCTTTTAAGTTCCAATAAGAGATATTTACCATATATTCTCTCTGCAGCCTGGAGGTTTCATGTGTATGACAAGAATCTTGGCTTCTACAGCTCCCCTTATCTTAACTCAAGCATTTCTTTTTGCTAACTTCAACTCTTCAGGCAAAGCCCCTTTCAACCAATCACCAATTAGGAAATTTTTGAAACCACCTGATATGGTTTGGTTCTATGTCCCCACTCAAACCTCATCTTGAGTTGTACCCCCATAATTCCCACATTTTGTGAGAGGGAACCAGTGGGAGAGAATTGCATCATGGGGGTGGTTTCCCCCATACTGTTCTCTTGGTAGTGAATAAGTCCCACAAGATCTGATGGTTTTATCAGGGGTTTCCACTTTTGCAGCTTCCTCATTTTTCTCTTGCTGCCACCCTGTAAGAAGTGCGTTTTGGGCCAGGCACAGTGGCTCATGCCTCTAATGCCAGCACTTTGGAAGGCCGAGGCAGTAGATCACCCAAAGTCAGAAATTCGAGACCAGCCTGACCAACACGGAGAAACCCCATCTCTACTAAAAATACAAAATTAGCCGAACATGGTGGTGCATGCCTATAATCCCAGCTACTCAGGAGGCTGAGACAGGAGAATCACTTGAACCCAGGAGGCAGACATTGCAGTAAGCCGAGATTGTGCCATAGCACCCCAGCCTGGGCAACAAGAGCAAAACTCTGTCTCAAAAAAAAAAAAAAATGAAGTGCCTTTTGCCTCCTGCTGTGATTCTGAGGCCTTCCCTGCCATGTGGAACTGTAAGTTCAATTAAACCTCTTTTACTTCCCTTTCTCAGATATGTCTTTATCAGTAGCATGAAAACAAACTAATACAGTAAATTAGTACCAGGACTAGGGTGTTGTAAAAAGATACCCAAAAATGTGGAAGCAACTTTGGAACTTGGTAACAGGCAGAGGTTGGAACAGTTTGGAGGGCTCAGAAGAAGACTTGAAAATGTGGGAAAATTTGGAACCTCCTAGAGATTTGTTGAATGGCTTTGACAAAAATGCTTATAGTAATATGAACAATAAGGTTCAGGCTGAGGTGGCCCCAGATGGAGATGAGGAACTTATTGGGAACTGGAGCAAAGATAACTGTTGTTTTAGCAAAGAGACTGGCGACATTTTGCCACTGCCCTAGAGATTTGTGGAACTTCGAACTTGAGAGAGATGATTTAGGGTATCTCATGGAAGAAATTTCTAAGCAGCAAGGTATTCAGGAGGTAACTTGGGTGCTGTTAAAAGCATTCCATTTTAAAAGGAAAACAGAACATAAATGTTTGGAAAATTTGCAGCCTGATAATGCAGTAGAAAAGAAAAACCCATTTTCTAAGGAGAAATTCAAGCTGGCTGCAGAAATTTGTATACATAACAAGGAGCCAAATGTTAATCCCCAAGATAATGGGGAAAATGTTTCTAGGGCATGTCATAGGTCTTCATGGTAGCACCTCCCATCACA